TTTTTTTTTTTTTTTTGAAGAAAAAGGTTGAATTGCCCCTCACCTTCAGCTGTCATGGTTTTGAGGTACATTGTCATTGACAGTATGGGGAAACTTGCACTGCATTTGCTTGTGCTGTACCTGCCCTAATCTCAGATACAAGCCTATCGATAAATTCAGGGTTACTTACCTTTTAGCAGCACCAAGAGGTGACAATAAGTTCAGATCAAAGTCAAGGCCGGTTTTAGACCCACGTGGTGGAGTTTTTGAGTGCTGCTAACTTGGTGTGTGGGCTTGGACAAGTCACCTAGCTTGTGTGTACCCCTTTCTTCATTATGAAAATAGGGGTAGTGCTCACTTCCCAAGGGAGGATTATTTGGGACAATGTTCTGATTATGAAAACTTAGCCTTTTTCACAGTGGTATTACTCAAAAACAAGAAAAGACAGATTGGATCATGAAAGCAACCGTAAGGAGAGGAGCATTGTTTCCCTACACAGCCATCCTATTGGCTTTGTCAATAATATAATTGTTGCTATTGCCATTTTATTTAAAAGCAGCGAGCTTTGCAATAAGCCTGTTAAAAATAAGCCATCTAGGGCCTGTGACTGACCAAAACCGACACTTTCAGATGAGGCAAAGCTGAAAGGAGTGGATGAAAGTAATGCCCTGGTCCTGCCAGCTAAAAAGACAAAGACGAAAAAAGTAGCTTGTGACACGCAACGAGAGAAGAAGCCCCTGAGCAAAAAACAGAGGAAAATCTTGCAGAAAGTTTTAGAGCAGAAAGAGAAGAAAAATCAGGTAGGTTGCATCTCGGTCATAAGGCTCTGCCTAGCTATGGTTGAGGCAATGCTAAAGAAAACTGTTTAAACAGGGCTGTTGTCAATAGGATTCCAGAGTGGCTTCCCTGGGAATATAAGCAAGGATTTTATCCTTAGAATCATTTTATAGCATCTGCCTATCACCAGCTTGGGGGAGCAGAGGTGTGTCTAGACACCTTATTGTGACCCAGTGCAGTGTCAAGAACTGTGTAGACTGCCGCATGCATTTCAGTGGGAGGTTGACACTGAAGCCTGCTGCCAGTTTAAATTGAAACAGCGTTCACTATTTAACTGCTGCTTTTTTTTGGTAAAAGTATACCGCTACCCGGGGACTGTTGGTACAGTGTGCGGCTATGGACAAAGTTTGAGTAGAGTCCTACCACTGACATCAGAATGCAGTGAGAGGGCAGGAGTGCAGGTCTGGGAGCCTTGGACTTCTGGGGTCTAGTCCTGCTTTGGGCAAGTCACTTAACCACTTTGAGCATCAGTTAAATAGTGATGATTCTTAGAAGATGTATTATGAGGATTGGCTAATATTTGCGAAGTATTTTGAAGGTGAAAAACGTTATTTATAAATAAAAAGCATTGGGCATATGTTACCTTTTTCAAGATGAGTAGCAAAATGAAAGGCTCCAATACTCCTATTGTACCAAAATGAGACAAAATTCCATCAATTAAAATGTAGAGAAATAAGTAGGATGATGATCCTTGACCAGCCTTACTCATGGGATCACTAGCAACACCTCCATAGTGTCTCTCTCTAACTTATCATGGTTTTCCCCAGCATGCAAATAGAGTATGGCTCTGTCCCCTAGTCCTTACTCAAGCTAAACTCCAGTTGATTTTGGTAGCTGAGTAAGATAGAACTTGAAGTGAATCTTTTTTGCTGGTACAGCAGTTCTAACAGTGATTATATATATTTTTTCTGTAGCGAGCTGAATTGCTAAGTAAGTTAAATGAGGTCCAGGCTTCTGAGGCTGAAATGAAACTTCTGTACACCACTTCCAAGTTGGGTATTGGAGAACGCATGTACCAGACCAAACGGTAAACTTCCATCTATTGCTGCTGTTGCGAATCAGGCATATTCTTGCTTTCTCAGTCTCTGTGTTGCACATAGATTCCTTTTTTTGCTTTAAATGGCTTCTTCACCTAATTTACTATAAATATAACTTGATAGATTTGTAAATTATTTAAAGTCAAAATAATTTGGTAGTTATGGTGAGGTAGAAAGAAAATGAGACTTATTATAGCCTCATGTTCTTTGAGATGGTTTCCTTTTGGGGGGGCGAGGATCTGAAGTGTGAAAACGCTAGCTATATTGGGGGGAAATGCCCATAATGTGTAAATATTCTGTTTTAGGACAGTACAAGAAGCAGGCACCACGTGTCCGGAGAAGATTAGTAGCATCAGTGGTGCAAATAAAAAAAGGCGCAGACTAGATATGGAACTGGAGGCTGAAAAGAAGACTGAATCCTCTGATAATTCTGATGAGGATGAAGAGGAAGAGCATAAAGAAGCAATTGAAAAGACAGCCACTGACAACTTTAACTTTGGAAAGGTGGAAGAATGCATTAAGAAGCCATTGAATAGCGATCAGGCTCTTCCTAGCACGCCAGCTCTTCAAAAAGCTTTTCATAAGCCATCTTCCAAGCCTGCAGTTTTCATCCCAGTGGACAGGTCACCTGAGATACAGGTCAGTCTTTGTTAGTGATTCATCACAATAAATGTTCTTCAAGGAATCGGAGTGACACTCTCCATCAGACTAATTCTTGGCAAATACTTAAGTGGAGATTTGTGGGATTCACCTGCATCAGTCAGTAACATTGAAAGCACTGCAAACAGTGCAGAGTGCATTCCCAGCATTGCTTTAAGTGTTACTGATACCAGCTATTGCGCAACTTTGGGCTTTGAGCTTGTCAAGTGAATAAAGAAGCAAACGACTTTCAGTTTTGTTTCAAAACATATGTATTTGTCACTAATTCTAAAAATGTAACTTATTAATGATCTGATATCTTAAACTCTTTGGTGTAATGAACTGAAAATCTTAATTGTTAAACTGGGTTTTATTCTCCATTATGCTAAATGTAGTTTCAGATAGATTTAATTCTGCAGAAATTTGAAAGAGTCCACTTATCACTGAGCAGATATATGATAGTGAGTTATGGAATGAGTTTCCATTTGAAATGTTGTTAAACTCAAGTGAATCTCAGATGACTATATGGAATTTAATAAATCAGAGCACTGGTTTAGTTTCATGCTTGAGTAACCAATTACCTTTTGAGAAGTCAGGAAGAAATATTTTGCTGATCCTAGTTCTTGGTTGGCCTGGCAGTGTTTTACTCTACATTTTATAACTTTTCAAGCCATGAGGAGGGCAGTGTGTTACCAAAATATCCTAGATATGAGGGGTCTATAGCCGCTTCTGCTCCTACATGTATTGGACTGTATGTGTAAGAATCATTCATGACTTTTGGAATGGAAAATCCATGATGGGTTGAATCTTTTAGACTTTTCATACAGCTTTTTTTTTTTTACTGAGCTTGACCCATTCAGAAGCCAAGTAGAAAGAGGGATCAAGACACACAAACTGAAAATAAAGTTTCTATTTTGTTTTCAATAGGAAGCGAGACTAAAGCTTCCTATCCTCGCTGAAGAACAAGTTATCATGGAAGCTATTAACGAGAATCCTGTTGTCATCATATGCGGAGAAACTGGGAGTGGTAAAACCACTCAAGTGCCTCAGTTTCTGTATGAAGCAGGCTATGCCAGGTAGGATTCTGTTCTTTTATACTGAAAAGTGATGAGAATATATATATATTTTTTTTAGTTCCATCCCTTTCTGGTTTTGGAATTTTGTCTCTGCTTAAGACTCCTGTGTTAGTGCTGTTACCTCTATGAGCAGCAATAGTGCCTACCTCAGATGGAGGTGAAATGAACTTGAAGGAGGAAAAATCTGTGGGCAGTCCTTAGTTTGCACAAAAATCCCTCGAGATTATTTATTTTAGAGCTTTTTAAACTGCTACCTTGTTTTAAACATCACTTTTATTTTTCACAGTAGGGCTGTAGTACTTGTCACTCACCGTGAAGGTAGGTTATCTAAGGGGGAAAGCTGGTGGGTTCATCTCTCCAAGACACTCCACATGTTCCTTGCAAAATTGAAATAAACACCATTCTATGTAGTGAAAAACCATCTGCAGCTTGTCCGGTGCTACCGTCCCTTTTACAGGTTTAGGCAGCGCAGTTTAGATGCTGCCTGCCTTCCGCAGTTCAGTCTCATTCCATTGCAATAAACATTCCGCTTCTGCAATATTCCCTCTCCAGCCCAGGCTTCTTCCCCAAAGGAGCCAGTTTGGTAGGGATTACCTGGTCCTCCCAACAATAAAGGAGAACCTGCATGTGTGGTATTACAAGCCCAAAACCCACCCGGAGGAATTCCTCTTGTCCTCTTTCCTAGGTTTGTCTGTAAAAAGCTTTTCTCCTCTGTCCTAGTTCCGATGGCATCATTGGAATCACAGAGCCTCGGCGTGTAGCCGCAGTGTCTATGTCTCATCGGGTTGCTAAGGAAATGAATCTTTCACACAGGTAAGGGCCAAAAGATCAGGGGCTAACCAGGAAAGTCAAAAACAACAGAACTCGGCCTCCCCTTAGTATAAATCTTCTGCTGCGTGGGAGAGGTTGGAGGGATGTTATCTTGGGGTCAGATTAACTGCAGCCTGTTCTGCTGGCCTTTCCTGAGAGGAACCGTAGGAAGTTTTCAATGAACTCAGCTCTGCTGCTCCCTAGAAAAACCGATGGTGGTCTTGGTGTTAACAAGTCCTCATAGTTCCCATTGGAGAGTCAGTGGATTGTTGAGGAGGTGGGGAAGGAGACGTGGCTGTGCTGTCTGTAGGGGAAAGCAGGTGTGCCATAACAGTGGGCTAGTTGAAAATAAAGCTATTCCGTATCCCGCTTTCTTAGAGGGAAAGGTTCCTGTATAGGACAGTAGAATTCTGCATGTGCTGGAGTCTGGGAAGTGGAGACTCAGGCAATCTGTGATCTTCCATGCACCTCATGCTGTGGTACCAAGTCGTAGCTGAAATGGACTGAAGACAGCGTTCTAACCTGAACTCTGACTTTCCTTCCTTTCCCAGCTTTTTACATTTGGTCTATAATGCTTTTTTTTTTTTAAGTGTGTGGCTTTGTTTGTGTAATACTGATGTATTTTCTCTACAGGGTAGTTTCATATCAAATACGTTATGAAGGAAACGTTACAGATGAAACCAAAATTAAGTTCATGACGGATGGTGTGCTATTGAAAGAAATTCAGAAGGTAAATTATCTTCTGCAATGAAAAAACAGAAGGCATTTAATGTCTCTAGAGAAATTCCACACATTCCTGCTAGGACTTGCCATGAGTGCAAGCATTCCTTCCTAAAACAAAACCCCTTTCAGCAGTTAAGTTGTATTTTTGGTGACTAGGTGTCTATGATTATTCTTTTTATGCTTGTTGGAGGTACAATTCTTGTTTCAGCTGCTGTATTGACCTTCATAGGAATAGGTGTTGGGATTTCTTCATCACATTCTCCAGACTGAGAATGGTCCAGGGATTAGGACACCAGCCTAAATCTTGGGAAACCTGGGTTCAAGCCCCTGTTCTGCCTCTGGTTTCCTATGTAACCTTGGGCAAGTCACTTAGATGGTGAACTATGGCTATACTAAGACTGTGCTTTCATTTCCCATCTGTAAAATGGGGATAATAACACTTTCCTACCTCACAGAGGTGTTAGGAGGACAAATGATCCCTAATTTGGACCACCAGCCCTTCCTCTACCCCCATGAGGCACAACCAATTTTAAGACCATCCATTTCAGTACACAAAAGATTGTGATGTGCTCAGATAGGACAGTAATGGGAGGGTCATATAAACCTAGATAGATTCGACGTGATGACAAACCCAACCTTAACATAGAGAGAGACCCGATTGAGGTTTGACTTGATGTGATGAGATGACTCAGCTTCCCTCTTTATTTCTAGGACTTCTTGCTTTTGAAGTACAAAGTGATCATTATTGATGAAGCCCATGAAAGAAGTGTGTACACAGATATCCTGATTGGCCTCCTATCTCGCATCGTGCCCCTTCGTGGAAAGGTAAAAAAACCAGAGGTGGTTGCGCTTCTTAGTGGGAGCAGATATGGGCCAAAAATGGGTAACAGAAATGATTAAATGCATGGAAAGGAGAGAGTGGAAAAATTAGGACTCCTGCTTGGAGATGAGATGAATAAAATGGTATATGAGGAAGCTAAATTAAATAAAGAATAGCAAAGAAAAGGCAGATAAGAGCCCCTTTTGTCTTTTCTTATATCACAAGAACTGGGGGGGATGATCCATGAAACTGACAGGTAAAACACTTACACTGATAAAAAGGAAACAAATTATTACACAGTACCCATTTAACCTGCATAACTCACTGCCACAAGACATCAAGTCCAAGAACTGAGGGGGATTTAAAATTAGACATTTATTCAGAAAGTGAGGACATTCACCATTACATTTGGATGTAAAACCCTCCTCCTTCGAGGTATAAGAGAATGATTAGGAAAAGACTTCCCCCAGGGGAATCTTACACCTACCTTACACCATGTTTTTTGTAAAGGGAAATCATGCCTCACTAATATACTAATATTCTTTGAGGCAGTCAACAAGCATGCGGACAAGGGGAATCCAGTGGATATAGTGTACTTAGATTTTCAGAAAGCCTTTGACAAGGTCCCTTACCAAAGGCTCTTAAGCAAAGTAAGCTGTCATGGGATAACAGGGAAGGTCCTCTCATGGATTGGTTACTGGTTAAAAGATAGGAAAAAAAGGGTAGGTATAAATAGTCAATTTTCAGAATGAATAGAGGTAAATAGTGGTGTCCCCTAGGGGTCTGTACTGGGACCGGTCCTATTCAACATATTCATAAATGATCTGGAAAAAGGGGTAAACAGTGAGGTGGCAAAATTTGCAGATGATACAAAATTACTCAAGATAGTTAAGTTCCAAGCAGACTGCGAAGGGCTACAAAAGGATCTCACAAAACTGGGTGACTGGGCAACAAAATGTCAGATGAAATTCAATGCTGATAAATGCAAAGTAATGCACATTGGAAAACAATCCCAACTATACATATAAAATGATGGGGTCTAAATTAGCTGTTACCGCTCAAGAAAGAGACCTTGGAGTCATTGTGGATAGTTCTCTGACAGAATCTACTCAATGTGCAGCGGCAGTCAAAAAAGCGAACAGAATGTTGGGAATCATTAGGAAAGGGATAGATAATAAGACAGAAAATATCATATTGCCTCTATCTAAATCCATGGTACGCCCACATCTTGAATACTGTGTGCAGATGTGGTCACCCCATCTCAAAAAAGATATAGTGGAAAAGATTCAGAAAAGGAAAACAAAAATGATTAGGGGTATGGAACGGCTGCCATGTGAGGAGAGACTAATAAGACGGGGACTTTTCATCTTGGAAAAGAGACGACTAAGGGAGGATATGACAGAGGTCTATAAAATCATGACTCGTGTGGAGAAAGTAAATAAGGAAGTGTTATTTACTTCTTCTCATAACACAAGAACTAGGCGTCACCAAATGAAATTAATAGGCAGCAGGTTTAAAAAAAAGAAAGGAAATACTTTTTTCACACACTTGTGGAACTCCTTGCCAGAGGATGTTGTGAAGGCCAAGACTATTACAAGGTTAAAAAAAGAACTAGATAAGTTCATGGAGGATAGGTCCATCAATGGCTATTAGCCAGGATGGGGCGGCATGGTGTCCCTAGCTTCTGTTTGCCAGAAGCTGGGAATGGGCAATGGGACGGATCACTTGATGATGATTACCTGTTCTGTTCATTCCCACTGGGGCAGCTGGCTTTGGCCACTGTCAGAAGATGGGATAGTAGGCTAGATGGACCTTTGATCTGACCCAGTATGGCCATTCTTATGTTCTTATGTACCTTGAAATATCTGGTACTGGCCACTGTTGGAGACAGGGATGCTGGAGTAAGTGGACCTCTTGGCTAATTTAGCATGACAATTCCTAGGTGTTTGTTTTCATTGTACCTGTGCAGACATGCAGCGGGAGGTTCAGTGCCTTGCTTAAGGCTGGCCTCTTGGTGAGTGTGTGGCAGAGTCAGGATTGCCAATAGGATTTTTGTCTGTCCTAAGGACCATAGTATTTGGCCCTCTCTTTGTACTGTCCTATGGCCTTATATTGTACTTTGTGCCTTCAAACTGTGAGGGCTTTGGGGCAGCGGCTTATATTTGGTATCGGTTACAGCAGCGCACATGTATGTGTCTCGTGCTACATAACTGATTACAAGTGGCCAGACTGCAGCATAACACTGCATATTTGCATTTCCACAGAAAGGGCAGCCTATGAAGCTAATCATTATGTCTGCCACCCTTCGTGTTGAAGACTTCACTGATAACCAGAAACTCTTTCCTGCTGTTCCTCCAGCTATACAGGTAACGTTGATCCTAGTGAGGTCTGCTGCCAGGGCTGTAATATGAATGGGGTCTGACTCGGGTTTCCTTTATAAATCTGGATCCTTACAGAGGCATTTTTCCTTTTGCTGCCTGTTATTTACAGTCCTCTCAGCCAGCATTTAGTCATTTCAGCAATGGCGCTGCAGGCAATTGTCCTGCTTGTAATTTCTTTTGAACTATGTATGTTACGGCTTCTCTTGCTAAGAATTCCAGCTCCCACTGAAGAAAGTGGTCTCAAAACACCGACGGTTCCAGTTTAGAAAATGATCCAAGTGGAGTTCTACTTTTCATAGAGTGGAATCCCTCAAATTTTGACAATAATTTTTAAAAAGCCTTTTGGATTCTAAGTAGCTCTCTTGAGTCTCTGATGCTACTGACTTGTCATCAGTTTGTGTGGTAAGGGCTGGAGAAATGCCTGCTATTTTTGGTAACCTACAAAATGTTGGCTCTGCTGAAGCAGTTAACTTAGTATTCAGAGCTGTGCTGATATTGCCAATGCACAGAAGGTGAAAGGCACCGTGAGGCCAGATTAGCACCTTCATTCTTGCTTTGAAGTCTGAAGTCTCTTTAATGTTAATTTAGTGCCGTTTGTGTTTAGTAGGAGTACAAGATGTTTGCGATTTTTCTGTTGGTTGCACTAAATGTTACAGCTAGTTTTCTGTGGGTAGCAAGCTAGATATAAGGAATCTTAAGCCCTTGATTGTTTAGAAAGTTATACTGGAAAGAGAGGTCTCCATTCAAAGTGGTAATTCTGGTTGATTGAACATAAAATATCATTGGAAAGGTCTTTGTAGTATGAGAAATACTGGTATACCCTAGGGCAAAAGCCAAACAAATTGGTTGTAGTGAGCTTCCGGTCTTCAGGGTCTCAAACTAACAATATGCTAGACACTGGGGCTTCAGCTAGAACACTTACCAAAGCAATGCTGGACTGGGTTATCTCCCATGTATTCTCATTCTCTTTATTTTTTTAAGATGATTTGCTGCACTCATTTTCAGAGGGTCAAAACAGTAAAAATGAGCTTAAATACAGAGAAGAAATAGAATGGTTTACAAGAACCTGGGCTATTTAAAACAAATGCATAAGCCAGTTCTATGGAGTGTGGTGAAATATCTGTTTAACTGTGTGAAAGGACACATTGTCAAGGCTTTTAATGAGCTTTCTGATTCCCCCTGAACCACAGTACGTAAAACCCACTTCTGCTGTAATCGTAAAATGAGGCTCGTTTCCTGTTGGATTCCTTTCTAGGTAGATGCAAGGCAATTCCCTGTGACTGTTCATTTTAATAAGAGGACTCCAGTAGATGACTACAATGGGGAATGCTTTAGAAAAGTCTGTAAAATCCACCGAATGTTACCTGCAGGTAAGACTGCTGCAGAGAACTCTTCAGCATCTCAAATTCTTTACACTTAAAATGTTTGCCAGAAAGGTCTAAGTGGACTAAAAAAATTTTATTAAAAAAACAACAACAAAACCCATAAAAACCAGCAGCACTGTCTCCTGTACTTTATTCCTTGCAAGGGATGTTGGAGAATAAGTCTATACTTAAATATGCTGTGGTATTCTGCATGATTTCTCACATGTGTTAGTAAGGAATTGTGAAGTGGGTCACGCGTTATATTCCACAGTTGGGATATATTTGACGTTGTCCTCTCTGAAGAGTGAGCACTAATTCTGTGATTTCCTTTTTGAAACGATCTGTCTTCTGTTGCAGGAGGGATTTTGGTGTTCTTAACAGGCCAAGCAGAAGTAAACTCGCTCTGTAGAAGACTAAGAAAAGCCTTTCCATTCCATAAAAATAAAACTGAAGGTAACTCCAGGAACTAAAAGGCTGCTAACTTTTAACTGTTACATCGTATGGAGATGCAAGTTTACTTTTAAGGTTTTAAGCAACGAGTTTTCCAGAAATAAACTTGGGAAAAGACCTATTGAGAGACCTCCTGATGACTCAGCTTCAGCTTTGAGAAAACAGATCTTTCTGTGTTGTGTGTGATTTGTCCTCCTTAAATCCCCTGGGGTCTGTTGCATTTCGCCACTGTTTCAGCCTTGCATTGATTACAGGAGCTTGCAAGGAATGGTGCAGTTTCCTAAAATGGAAGATCACTTTCACATCCTCTCCTGTTGCAGAAAGCTAATCCTCTGCTTCGGAGTCCTCCTCAAAATGCACCACTTCAGAGCAATCTGCCACTGATGTACTGTGATTCGCTAACATAACAAAAATGCCCGAGGCCCTCTCAACCACTTGGTCACTAGCTATTTTTTGCTTTAATATCTTGAATGATGAGCTCTTTAGAGCAATGTTAAGCTCTGCTCTGCAGAGTCATCTTTCAGCACTCTGAGAATCCCACATGCTTCTTCATAGGAGATGAAGAGAAGGAAGAATCAGTCGAAGAAACCAGGAAATTTAAGAAATCCAAACAGAAGAAAACTATGGTAATATCTTTTAAATGTGAATGGAACCGGCACTCGTGTCAGTGGATAATTGTTGCAAAAGAGCAGGAATCTAGGTTACCCCTGTTGACCTGAAAAGAAAGTTCAGTTTTGGCTTTCATTTGTGTATAGCTCAGGAAAACAGAATGTTTTCAAGCAGATTTTTTTTTTTTAAATACTTCGGTCTGATTTATAAGCAACTTGCAATTGTGTGGCTGTCCCTTAAGTAAAGAATTCCATCCCACTTTGATCTAGATTTGTAACTGCTGCATCAAGTGGTTGGTTGAGGGAGAGGGCTTAATGCACCCCTGGGCACTACAAGGAGGGGAGATGGATTTCCACTATTAAGCACTAATAAATTAGCACTTTAATGGAAGGAACTCTGGACTTCGTGGGTTCAGGATTCCTTTGTGAGGAAAACTGGTGTTTGGCTGCTGACCGTATAAGTGATGTGAACTTTATTGTCATTAAATTATTAAAATCTTGCTCTCTGATTTTAGATGCTGATTGGTAAAATTGCCTGAAGGAGGGTTGTGGGGAAGGGAGAAACCTGATGTACAAAACATCATTTCTACACAACACGTCCTTAAAAACATTTAACTGGCTTGTCTTTCCTGATTCCCCTCAGTTACGGATGAAACCATTTAAGGCCCAATCCCCCATGCATCTTGAGATCAATGGAAGTTCAGGATTGAGACCCTAGAGTTGCATTTATTACCGGCTTCTAAAAGCTTTTAATGGCCTTTTGCACAACTGCTAATATTAAATCTAGAAAGGCTTTTAATGGTTCCCCTTTTTCTCGTTTCTAGCCATTACCCAAAATCGATCTGAACAGTTACTCCGTTTTGCCAGTGGACGAAGGTGATGAGGACAGAGAAGCTGAAATGGATGATGATGAGGATGCTGTGGGCTCTGACATTGACCTAGATTTGGGGGATGATGGACTAGAAGAAGGTTTGATACTTTGAAATGAAAATCACATATGTAAAACAAACCTCACTTACCAATATGTGAAACAGTTACTGGCACCTGTCCTCTTTGCTTTGGTTCCAAACTGGTGTGTTAGCACTTTAGGATGTGTAGTGTAAACCATTATTTATAAAGCGTGGGTTTCTCATTGCAGGGTTTCTGATGGCAATTTTAAAAGAAGTGATTTACAAAATCTGACTTTTTTCAGGTTGAAATGTGTATAAAAGTTTAGTTTGTCAGGACGCCGTTGGGAATGAAATGCCTAGTGTTTGCTTGCCATGTTTTTAAGAATGCCATTTTGTTTCTCTACAGGTGAGAAGTCCAATTCTTCCCTTCCACTCTACGTGCTCCCACTCTACTCTTTACTAGCACCAGAAAAGCAAGCCAAGGTAAAGGATTATTTGCACGGGAATAAGTGACTGTTCTCAGTACCTGACTTTAGAATGTATGTAACAGCTCTTGGTTTGTGTGCTAAAATTAGCATCTTGAAATAGCCTCCAGTGGGCAGACCAGCGAGAGATTCAGGTAGGGGAGAAAACAGGCCTCTGCTGACCTGTGTGCTCAATTCGCACACCAGGACACACGATGTGAGGCCACTGTCATTGTGATCGCTTCTGTCTTTCTAGCTCAGGGGTGGCCAACCTGTGGCTCCGGAGCCACATGCGGCTCTTCAGAAGTTAATATGCGGCTCCTTGTATAGACACTGACTCCGGGGCTGGAGCTACAGGCACCAACTTTCCAATGTGCCGGGGGGGGTGCTCACTGCTCAACCCCTGGCTCTGCCACAGGCCCTGTCCCCACTCCAACCCTTCCCACCCCCTCCTCTGAGCCTGCCGTGCCCTCGCTTCTCCCCCTTCCCCTCAGAGCCTCCTGCATGCCACAAAACAGCTGATCAGGAGGGGGGGGAGGTGCTGATTGGGGCTGCCAGTGGGTGGGAGGCGCTGGAAGCCGGGGGGAGCGGATGGGGGGTTGCTGACATATTACTGTGTCTCTTTGGCAATGTACCTTGGTAAATTCTGGCTCCTTCCCAGGCTCAGGTTGGCCACCCCTGTTCTAGCTTATCTGAGTTGACTTCACTAACTTGTTTTACGGGCAATGCGGTTCATCTGCCAAACTGTGTTTGCTACAGGTGTTCCGACCTCCTCCTCTTGGAACAAGACTGTGTGTTGTCGCAACCAACGTGGCTGAGACATCTCTCACTATCCCCAGCATTAAATACGTGGTTGACTGCGGGAAAGTCAAGAAACGCTTCTATGACAAAGTTACTGGGGTTTCGTCTTTCAGAGTCACCTGGACGTCTCAAGCATCTGCAAACCAGCGGGCAGGACGAGCTGGCCGCACGGAGCCAGGGCACTGTTACAGGTTAGCCAGTTCCCTCTCCGTAGGCTTCTCGCAAAGGAGGGGTCAGGGTCTGAAAACCATTCTCTGTTTGTTGGGCAGCCAAATGAAAGGAAAATACCAACACTTGCCACTGTGTATCGGACAGCTCCTCTGGGTCTCGTTTCATGCCCTTCACTTGTTTAGAATGCACCTCTCGCAAGGCATTGAAGCACCATTTGGTAAAACAGCCAAAATACGGAACAGTTAAAATGTTCCAAATGGAACTGCCCAGCCCAAAGAGAGCCCCTAGATAATGTTAGCAAAGAGGGAAAGGATTGCAGGATATTAACTCCTGGACGCCTTCCTGAAAATCCCTTGTCTGACCGCTGTTTTTGCAACAAAGGAGATCTGGATGGGACTCTAGAGCCAGCTAGAGTTTTGAGAAGAAGTCATGATTTCCTAACTGCAGCACTGCTAGCTGCCTCTGGATCAAGGAATGAGACTTCAGTGGGAGGAACTAGACCGGAATGACTGGTGTGGCACTGCAGAGCATTCGCCGCTCAGCTAGCCCACTAGCTTGCCTTAACCTTTTATCACAGCATAGTGAGCAGTTCTGGTATGTTTTATTTAACTGAAATAGATGTAGCGTGATCGTTTCCACAAGCTACCTAGTACAATACGTTGACTGTGAGACCTCATCTAGTGGATGAAAATGCAGGGCAGTGAGGGACAGAGACACTGAGCTGCGCTTGTGCTGGCTTAATTTGTACCATTGTCATTTTAGAAACATCTGTGAACACAGTCTATGTCAAGTTCCCATTTAATGATGCTGTCTTAATGCTTTATGCATGAAGATGAATTGATCTCTCTTGTGTGGTATTTTAGATGTAAATGTGGTTAAGATGCTTTAAAATCTGAAGATTAAACCTTTAAAAATTCATTTTTTTTCATCCAAAGCGATGTTAAAAACAAAAAAAACTTTATTTGCTTTTGTTTTCATCTCTGTGACGTATATGTTTTGGGTTCAGATATCATATCCGTCTCTAACTAACGTTTCTCTTTCATTAGGCTCTATTCATCTGCAGTTTTCAGTGACTTTGAGAAATTTTCTCCTCCGGAAATTACAAGGCGACCTGTGGAAGACTTGATTCTACAGATGAAAGCGTTAAACATTGAAAAGGTGAGCCGAAAAGCCAGCTTTACGTTCTAGCACTCTTTCAGTGTCTTCTGGGAGCCAGAAATAAGCATAAATTGCTGTACCGCTGCCTGTTTGGTGTGAGGATACGTTGTGCCTTGTATCAGAGATGGGGGGAGGGAGGTGCTATGTTGTAGTCCCAGGGCTTGGTTTGTATTCGGCTCTGATCTTGCAATGCATTGCATCAGACCTCAATGGGCTTCACAGCTTCATCTCCACTTGTGCGAGCGCTGTGCGTTTTCATCAACAGTCTCCTGAAAACAGCCAGCAAAGCACAGACCTGGGATTTTACAAAATGGGGCCAATAAAATAATGAAATCTATTGTTCCTTAAAAGACCTGAGGTTATGTTCATACAAAAGGAGCAATAAAGCCTACATGTCCATTGTTTGTGTATGTTAACTTCACAGGTGTCCTCTAAGCCTCTCAACTTCCCTATGAGGGGCAATATCTCCATTTTACAGAGGGGTACTCTGAAACACCCAGGCTAAGGGCTTATTTTTCAGAGGGCTCCTACTCTGAGTCCTCCCCAGACTCTTGTTGCCTTAAATTGGGAGTTCTAGGTTGGCTCCAGCTTTTTTGCCGCCCTAGGCGGCAAAGGAAAAAAAAAAGATTGAGCTGCTGCTGGAGAGGGAGTGAAGGGCCCGCCGCCGAATTGCCGCCAAAGATCCGGAAGTGCCGCCCCTTTCTATTGGCTGCCCCAAGCACCTGCTTCCTTCGCTGGTGCCTGGAGCCAGTCCTTTACTCAGCACTTCTGAAAAGGCCTTCAAGAGGCTTGTCTAAGGCCATACTTTGATTCAGTCACAGACGAGACTAAAACCCTGGATTCCAGACTCCTAATCGCGTGCTCTAGCCACTCCCTTCCAGGTGTCTGTCTGTCTCTCTTTGTGCTGGGGAGTTCTCCTAAATATATTGCCTCTGTTGGCTTTTGGAACCAAAGAGGACTTGTCTCAGATGAACGACAGCCGAACTCTGTTCAGTGTCAGTTAAACATTCATTTCTTCCTGCGTTCCTAGGTGATCAACTTCCCTTTTCCAACCCCGCCTCCAACAGAGGCACTTGCAGCTGCTGAAGAGCTACTGATAGCGCTTGGAGCCCTGCAGGAGCCACCCAAGACAGGAAGGTAGGGTGCCTGAGGTCTCCCACAAGTTTTTTCACAGCCATGACTTACTGAGGATTATAGCAGGGGCTGGAAGCAGCAACAAGTGGGGTGTTTTTCCTACATCGTCTTTTACGTGATAGTGAGACGGAGCTTTGCCGGTCTCCCTTCTGTGCCAGTTCTCTGACCGTCTCCCCTTGGTATCAATGCTGTAGCAGGTTTGTCAGCCGGGCTGCTTCCCAGAATCCTTTGCACTTCCTAGTCTGTAATAATCTGGTGTTTTAAACCAGCCAAACTGAGACTGATTCAGACTTTAATGGCTTGGGTTTTGCTCCTCCTTCCTTGGATTTCTACTGCACCTTGAATCGAGACAGCTCTTGAAGCACAGTACAGATGGGGAACATTTCATGCACCACTGAAATCTTGGTTAATAACGTTCAGAGGCTTTTCCAGGCCTTGTAATATTTGTGCCGATAAATATAAAGGTGAGACAAGGGGACCCAATAGCTCCCCTTGGCTACCCCACACGCTTGCAGGTTTTAATTCACCCCTCTTGTTGTTTTGCCGCGAGCTTCTGCGTGGCCACTCTTACTCTGGAATAAGTGCCCTGTTTTGATATTCACCTAAATCAGTAAAAATATCAATTTCAGCTACATCAAAATTGGACACTTTTATTCTGAAATGAGGGTTCGCACGCGGACTTGCTATGAAATAACAAAAGGGGTGAATTAAAACCGATGCCATCCCTTTGCTGTGAATTTGGGTAAATCAGCCCGTAGTGACTGTTTCAAATGCAGCCCAGGCTTCTAGGGACCAGAAACTGTCACCATGTGATTCTTGTTCTGTGAAATGAATTGTTTTTTCAGCCTAACTCCTGCTGCCGTTCCCACACTTGCTCACACCCGGAGAGTCCCAGGACTGAGAATGACATTTGGAGGTGGTCCCTCCAGGGCAGGGCGGAAGCAGTGTTGGGAAGAGCGGCATTCAGGCTGAATTTGGAGTCTTTCATCGCTACTAAAGTCACATATGCAATCAGAGAGAGAAAAGTGCAAGTGTGCAGTAAACAGCTGGCGACTCAAAGTCTATAGAAAAAGCTTGTGTGAAAGGGGGAAAATGCTGTTATCACATGACTCGGTTTCCGCCTCTTCCAGGCTGAAAGATCTGCAGATAGCAAAGCTGAGCTGTCCAATTAGTCCCTTGGGCATGACCATGGCGTCCTTTCCTGTGGCCCCACGCTACGCTAAGATGCTTGCTTTAAGTAAACAGCACGACTGCCTGCCGTATGCCATTACCATAGTGTCGGCAATGACCGTTCGAGAGCTCTTTGAGGAGTTTGAGAGGTGAGTGGCTTAAGCTGGAGTAAAAATAGGTTCCCTTAGCACCAGAGACCATTTAAAGTGTGCCTAGGTATTGCTTTCTGGAATACCAGCCAAAGCTGGAGAGACAAGCTGGACAGGGAAATATTTGTTTTATCCCCTTATATACAGCATCTCTAATGATTACCCCATGAAACTAGTGCCTGTAGAGCTAAGCATGAAGGTGGCAGTGAAGTATCATTGACTGACCTCTGTATTCTGTGCTTGGTGGCATTAATTAAAACTATAGCCTTGTAGATCCCTAGAGCCCTTTTCTCCCCATTTCTAACATTTGTCTTGTGATTGCACTGCGGAAGAGTTACAGATAACAGAAGACAATGCAACCCATGTATAGCTGACATCAGTGGTCATTCTGCCAGTAGCCTGAAGTTGGAAAGCTATAGGGGAGATCAGAGTAGAGGCAGGATATTCTGTTAAACATGACCAGCGTGCTGTCTGTCTGATCCCCAGCACTAACTGTTTAGCTTTTTAAAACCTCTCACTCGGAGTTGTGTTTTCCCGTTCAGTCTCACTTGCTGGATGGGGAATTGGGTCCATATATAGGCAGGGGCATGGTGGTGAGTCTGAGTCTCTAGTCCCATGACTTCCTCAACACCCTGTTCAGACATACACCTCTCTGATAGGCTGCAGTACCGGCTCCACCAGCAGCAATGTCCCATATCCTTTGTTGTAGCCTCTTAATACTCCTGGGGATGGCGTACCAGGCTTGGAATTCCCGGTCCATTCTCCCATGTGGTAGAACAACCACTGGAGTGTTGGGGCAGCACTTTCTTCTCCTAGTCACCCAGTTTTATCTCTTTTGGATCAGCCTGAGATAATGAACCGACTGATTTCCCGGGTTTTCTTTTTATCTTCCAGTTTTAGACAAGCTTTTTACTACCAATTTTCTATCAGTCTGTCTGGTGTTTAGTGTTACTGGAAGGGAAAATACAAAGCTGTTTTGACATGGCCGATGGTGCTTGCTAGAAAGCTTTAGAGTGTATTGATTGTGCTTTTGGTTTAGACCAGCTGTAAGTGAAGAAGAGACGGAGAAGCTCAAGGGGAAGAAAGCAAGAGTTATACAGATGCGAAGGATCTGGGCTGGACAAGGGCCTTTTCAAAAACTAGGAGACCTCATGGTGATGTTAGGTATCTCTTGCCAGTGACTTGAACATACTGTTTCTTGCGGGGAGGTGTTTAATTTCAATCAACGTAATCGGATATACAAAGCTAAAGGATTCATAGTGCCGTAGCAAAGGGAAATGCTGTATAAGGAGGGCTACTTGCTGTTCACAGAAGTTGAGTCCTGTAGTCCATCTCTTGCCACTGGAGGATGGTGTTCTGTCTTATGTTCATCGGTGCATCCTCCAGGCTGGTTCCAGCCAATGAGCAAACCTGAATAGATACAAATATGGGATTCACTATCCCGCTGGGGGAAAATGTTCTGCTGCCTAATCAGTTTCACCTTTGGGAAGCCAGTTGGCTTTTTTGTTAAAGCTCTTTGTTCTTTCCCTGCTGAATAAAGATTCTCTTCCAGGAGCTGTGGGGGCCTGTGAGTATGCAGGGTGTACTCCTAAATTCTGTGAAGCAAATGGGCTGCGATACAAAGCGATGGTGGAAATCAGGCGCTTACGGGGGCAGCTGACGACAGCAGGTAAAAATTTAGCAGCAGATAACTCAGTTGCAGGCTTGGGCTTTCTCTGCTCAGCACAGTGCAGCCTTTTATGCTGCCAGCAGCGTAGCCCATGCTCTGTGGCTCACCACAGGGGTATTTTTTGTAAACCCAATTTAACTAGAGGCTAAGTCTCCGTGGCAAATATCCATGGCTTTAGAGAGGAAGCCAGTGGTTACCTATCTTCAGGTAGTGGTAAATTAACTGGGATCCTCTTTTCTTTCTAACTTTGAGAATCTTAACACTCTTGCTCTTCCTCAGTGAATTCAGTCTGCCCCGATGCTGGCCTCTTCGTTGATCCAAAAATGAAGCCTCCCACAGAGACCCAGGTGACCTATTTGAGACAGATAGTGTTGGCGGGGCTAGGGGATCATATTGCCCGAAGGATCCAGGCGGAGGAACTTCTGGATGAGAAATGGAAAAATGCCTACAAGGTAAAGATGAGTGGCATGGCTCAGTTTGACCATCACCCTCCTCCTGTAACTCTGTGATCTAGAAATAAGAGTTCTATGCGGAGCATGGTCCAGTGGCCCAAACGCAGGATTGGGGCTCTGTTCCCAGCCCTGCTCCAGTGTCGCTATAGGAAGTTAACTCTTCCATGCTGCAGATACCCCACTCCTAGACTGGGGTGATTACTTTCTATGGTGTCTCATCAAAAATTTGGGAAGCAGAATGAATGGCGACTTGCGAAGCACTGTGAGGTCCCTAGAAGGAAGGTGATGCAGAAAACCAGGGTGTAACCAAAAATCTCCATCGCTTAGAGAACATTGGTGAAGGATTTAAACTAGGTGCTCTCCAGGAACTGGATTGCTAATCATCACAGTCTCCTTTCATGCTACCGTTCATGTTGAGTCCTTTGTGCTTTCTTTAAGACTCCTCTGCTGGATGACCCTGTCTTTATCCACCCGAATTCTGTCCTCTTCAAACAACTCCCAGAGTTTGTGGTGTATCAAGAAATTGTTGAAACTACTCAAATGTACATGAAAGGTAAGATTGCTCAGCTCCTCCCTCTTCAGATCTGTCCAGCAGTTCGCTATGGAATCAGAAGAGTGTTTCACTTGATCACAGCACAAGTCCCACCTGCCCTTTGGTGCTGGCCAGGAGCGTGGGAATCAGGAGATGGCAGTGTCTAACTTCTCATTGACGTATCTCCAGGACCGAGGAGCCCTGTCCAGCTGGAAACAGCCTCCAGAGCGGCCAGCCCTTGGTGGCTCTGGGCCTCCCCAAGGCAGCCATGGAAGTTGCTGCTGATTTCCTCCTTGTTTCACAATATCCTAGACCACCCCTCTCTGGCTCCTTGTGGTCTTTCCCTTCCTAGGTGCAGAGTTGGATTGGCTTAGGAAAACGACATCCAGATGTACGTTGCATTCTCTCCGACCGCTTGGGTGGTTCTCCTCCCACCCCCAATTGACTGCCCTAAGCAGGGAGAAAGACTTTCAAAGGAGCCAGGTGGTCAAAAGAGGAGCTAGAGCCCCATGGCTGGCAGCTGCTTTCCAGAGAGCAGCCAAAGAGAAATGGGCTTGATCAAGTCAGATTGTGCCTCCCCTCCCACCCAACAAAATGGTGCGGGGCAGGAGAATGAGGCTTGGGCTCTGAAACGAGGGCTTAGAGTCCCTCTCCGCTCTCCTTTGACTCTAGGTCAAACAAAACTGTGCTGGAATCCATGGGGATACTTTCAAATGGACCCTGAGGCAACCCGTCTGAGGAGCTCACCTCCAGTGAGTGCGAGTTTCACTGAACATTACCCCTGCGTAAACAGTACTGAACAGATTGTTCTGAAGGCAAAGATGCTTCATTTTGTAGTATGTGTTTCTATTCTGAAGGTGTTTCGGCCGTTGAATCTGAATGGATCCCAGTCCTGCTACCTCCGTACTGTCACTTTGGGAAACCTTTGGAAAATCCTCCTCCATTTTATTGCCCTGAAACAGGCAGAATAAGATGCCACAGACCAAGTGTTTTCTGTAAGTTTCTTGAAGCATTGCATGTTGGAATGTAGCTCTGATGCATATTACATTCCCCAAAAAACTGCTCTGTGTTGCCCTACTGGCTGTAAGGCCATGGAATAAAAACTCTTTATGTCCAAAAGGACTGAACCCTGCTAATCATGAATGTTATACATGCCTTGAGATGGCTTATGTATCTCCACTGGGTTCTCCAGAGTTAGCATAGAGCTGCTAGCATACTAACCTCTAGGCACTGGTATTGCTGTGATGTGTGTCACATCCTGTCCTATACTGGAGGACTTCTAATGTCATTGTTACTAGCTGTGCATTTCTCTAAATGCCTGCAAAGTCTCTTTGTGCTCTGCAATCTTACACTGATGGAAAAATCCACGTTGAGAATTAAATAGAAGACCTAATATGACCTGTCTTTCCAGATCGAGTAGGCTGGCAGCTTCCAGCAGTGGAGGTAGATTACCCAGAGGGTATCGATCGCTACAAATACTTTGCCAAATTTTTACTGGAAGGAAAGGTAAGTGTATTACAACTTGCATGGTTTCCCCTTACATTTTAGAGCATCCTCTTACTTTATGGCAAGTGTCTAACAAATGCAAATATTTATTTTAGATTGTTAAACAGCTGGGCTCTTATAAGCGTTGTTTGCTGTCCAGTCCGCTCACAATGCTGAAGACATGGTCCAAGTAAGTTGTTAAAACAATCGACTAAACAGTTGTCATGCCACCCAGCAGTGGTGTTAGTCCCTTGAGCCTTCTTAAAAGAGAGGGACTTCCAAACTGGGAAGAGTACAAAGATATTTACCTCAATTGTTAAGCGGAGAGAGAAGGAAAATTGTCTTAGCAAACCTAAGGCCAGTGGCCTTTATCAAGCGAAACTGGTGAACTGTAAGGATCCTGTAAAGACTTACACATATGAGTAGATACTCTGGCTTCAGTGTGATTATTGGTGCCAGTAAAATTACTTGTGTGTAACTATTTGCAGGATCAGTCCCTGGGAGTCTGTATTTAATTTTCTTCACAGTTTAGCCAGCTACACCATTTTGAGTCGTCTAACAAAATAGACGTTCCAAAGAGGTTTTGCCCTTTGTGGCATGACATTGTAGCAGTACAGTAATTAGGGCCCTACCAAATTAATTTCCGTGAAAAACGTGTCATGGACCGTGAAATCTGGTCTTTTGTGTGCTTTTACCCTATACTATACATATTTCACGGGGGAGACCAGCATTTCTCAAATTGGGGGTCCTGAACCAAAAGGAAGTTGCAAGGTTATTTTGTGGGGGGGATCACAGTATTGCCACCCTTACTTCTGCGCTGCCTTCAGAGGTGGGCAGCCAGAGAGCGGCGGCTGCTGACTGAGGGCCCAGCTCTGCAGGCAGTAGTGCAGAAGTAAGGGTGGCAATACCATACCAGGCCATCCTTACTTCTGCGCTGCTGCTGGCGGCGGCTCTGCCTTCAGAGCTGGGCTCCGAGCCAGCAGCGCAGCTCTACAGCTGCCCAGCTCTGAAGGCAGCACCACTGAAGTAAAAGCAACTCGCCCTGCAATAACTTTGCAACCCCACCCACAGCTCCTTTTGGATCAGGACCACTATAATTACAACACCGTGAAATTTCAGATTTAAATAGCTGAAATCATTAAATTTATTTTTTTTAAAATCCTATGACTGTGAAATTGACCAAAATGGACCGTGAAGTTCATTGATAGGGCCCTATCAATGATCAACACCCTCACACACAACACACCTTTCAAGATGCATCCACCTACACATGCCTATCACAACATGTGGTGTATCTCATCCAGTGCACTAAATGCCCCCCATAACTACTATCGCAACACTCTCAAATGAGCTCACACAGGAAAAAGATAAGACAGAAACACCCTATTACCTGTGGGCAAACACTTTTCACAGAGCAATCACTCTATATCTGACCTATCAGACCTCATTCTCAAAGGAAACCTGCATATTTTCAAACGATGAACCTGGGAGCTTACATTCATAACTTTTCAGAGTAGCAGCCGTGTTAGTCTGTATCCGCAAAAAGAACAGGAGTACTTGTGGCACCTTAGAGACTAACAAATTTATTAGAGCATAAGCTTTCGTGGACTACAGCCCACTTCTTCGGATGCATATGCTTCCGAAGAAGTGGGCTGTAGTCCATGAAAGCTTATGCTCTAATAAATTTGTTAGTCTCTAAGGTGCCACAAGTACTCCTGTTCTTTATTCATAACTTTGCTAGATACTAAAAATCATAGTCTAAATAAAAACACTGGATTTATGACTCATTCCAACAATCTGGAACCCACTCACCCCTATGACTTTTATCCTATGACTACAGGGGTGTTAACAGCCTTCTTCACCTTGAATATGTGCTAACTACTTAAGTTAAACTCCCTGTTCAATCTTGTATTTAGCTGTGACATTCTGAGTACCTGTTCCGGACCCAAAGAAGAGCTCTGTGTAGCTCGAAAGTTTGTATCCCTTTCACCAACAGTTTGTCCAATAAAAGATATTGCCTCACCCACCTTGTCTCTCTAATATCCTAGGACCAACATGGCTACAGCAACCCTGCATACAACAGTGGTAGATTTCAAGTTGGGACTGTCCCTTTAGTCATGGGTTACATGTTTTATGTCTACATCTAACCTCTAATCAGTATTGTTATAAAACAAATGCAGAACACTAGACTGCAAGCACTAAAGTAGAGATGCAGCCATAATATAGTTAAATAAATTAACATATCTATATATCACATCTATATTTGATCCCCTTTCATTTTGGAATTCACTCAGGCTTCAGCCCCGGACAGAAATCTTGCTGAAGGCTCTTGTTTCAGAAAATGCTGATAGTCATGATGCTTTGCTGGCTGCATGGAAAAAAAATCCCAAGTGTAAGTGTTTAGTTTGCTGGGTGGTGGCGATTAACCATTCCAGCATAGGGTTCTTACCTGATTTCAAGCAGAGCTGGTCTTTCGAACTTTAACTAAAGGAACAGACAATACCCTACCAGAGAAAAGAGCAATCATTTTCAGTGCTTTTCTCATTAGGGTAGTTTGTGTTGTGATTTTGGTCTTCCAGTAGGACTGGAAGAGTTATGGGAGTTCATAAACTGTCATCCTCTGGAAATGAATATTTGAAAAGGGTTTTTTTGTTTTTTGAGTTTTTGTTTTTTGTTTTTGTTTTTTTTGTAATATATTTGTCTGGATTTGTAAATAGGATTTGTAGCAGCTCTGTCACAAAATGGCCATGTTATAGGAAGACTCCTGTGCCAATTAAATTTATTTTTCACAATATTAAGCATACCAAATAATCTGACCTTTATACCAGATGCTGCAAGGAGTAAAAAATCCTTTCCTAATAGGATTCCCAGTATTAACTTGAACAATAACTCTTGCATTCTTGTTCATACTTTTAGATCATTAAAACACTTTAAAAGTGTTAACGGTCAGACAAGTATTTCACCCATTTTTACAGGTGGGGAAGCTGAGGCAAAGGTTAGTGGCCTGTATAAGGTCACAGAGAGAGCTTTGAGTAGTTCCTGGTTTCCAGTCCTGTACCTCTCTATGTACTCCTGTTCACTCTTAAACCCCAGCCCTTGTCTTTAATCCTGGGAATAGTCCCATCCAAGTTAATGGTACTACACACATGTATAAGTACTCTGTTGGATCAGGGCCTTAATTTGGATTTAATGATGATTTGTCTTAGTCACAAAAAAGCAGAGATGCCCCAACACTTCAGCTGTACCTTTCTCAGGGAGAAAAGTTCTCTCTCAAGTTTGTGGCCCTGAACACTGAGATTTCTTCTGGGATGAATGTGTGCAAAGGAGTTTCTTCTTTAGTCTTTCCTGGGAAGACACAGTGCAACAGAGAAATTGAAAGAATCTAGCCTTCCATTACTATATATTTTTTCCCACTGGCTGTAAGCAGAGTCTAATTCTTTTACAGATTCTCTTGAAAGCGTGATCAAACTGCCCCAGTTGTTAGAGCCCTGCCTTCTAGTAGACCCTCTTCTGCTGTTAGCTATTTTTGACTTGTGGACTGATGATTCATATCTTTCTGTTTCAGACTTGCTGTCTGCATATTGCCAGTGGATCCCCGAAGTTATGCACGATGATGTAGCCAAACGCTGGCCACCTGTGACATTGTGAATTGTCAAGATTTCCCTTCTACAGATAATCCCTATCTCACAGACCTCTCCAGAACTCCCTTTTTCTAGGAAGACTCGGAAGCAAAAGGAAAGTCCATATTTGGTGGGAGAGACTGATTTACTAATGGAGGACAGCTTACCAGCCTGTTTTGCTAGGGTGTTTTGTAATATTTATTATCTCTTGGGTAATTTTATCCATTGTATTTAATTGATTTTTCTTAAAAGCTTCTTTTTAGACTATATTAGTCAATTGGACTACAGCAGATATGTAGAGTACTTGACTTGAGCAAGTAAAGGGGTTTGTATGTGACCGTGGTATGCTGTAGCTTAAAAAAAAACAAAAAATCTCTCTAGTGTTCCTGATCATCCAGAATGAACGCCTCATATGCACACCTGAAGTTCAAGACACATGAGTATATAGCCCCTTCATGTTCCAGTATTCCTTTTGTCATTTGAATTCACCATAGAACCAGGATAGCCATAAACCTCCCACCTTCAAGCCACTTTTTCTTTTCCTTTTTTAAATTCCTTTCCTGTCTCATCACTTTCTCCAACTGTTTTTTTTTTCTGCAACTTCCCTCTGCAATCAGCCTGCCTGTGTCTAGCCCCAGTGGGGAAAGAATTCCAAGACTACTGTCCTGCTAGACAACACACCCAAAAACCCAATTGGTGCTGGTCATATTTCATTTGGTCGGCAAATGCTGTATGATTATTTATATTGTCAGTTTGTACAGTGGAAAACTCTTTTTGAAAAGTAAGAGGGCAAAGGGGGAATAGAGTATGTGAGAGATGCCTTAGGTTATTTTACAGAAATAATCTTTAATATAGAAAGTGAGCCTGACTAAAGCGTCATAAAAAGGTATCATGATTTCCTTGCATAGGCAAGTCAGCATCCCAAACTAAACTGGAGGTGTATTTAAATGTGGAAAAAGCTGATGCAGCTTTGTTTGGGGTCTGACTGTTCAGTGTGTCTCTCTAGAAATGTGGTGAGCTATTGTGTATAAAATAGGGGGGGTTTAGCCTTACTAGAGACCTGCAGTTATTGAAATAGGGCCATAAATCGCTATTTGAAACTGTTTATACATTGTAAAAAAAATGTAAAAATTGTTTATATTTTGGGAGGGGATTTTGTGAATTAAAACTGTTGTCTATTTCTTTTATATCTGCTGGCTAATTTTTCCTGTTTGTAGCAGGTTTGCAGAGTGCTAGACATGTCCTTATTAGTTAAATGGTTAAAAGTTAACTGTTTAAACAAAATATCTTTAGTGGTTTAAACAGTTCGCCAATTTAAGCTGCTGGGGCTGGGCCTGTTCCAGCCGTCACAGGGTTGGCAGGCCGGCCAGCCGGCGTGCGGGTTAACGGTTAAGGCAGGTTAACCAGTAAGACTAACGCTTACCGGTTAACATTTTTCATCCCTAGTCCTTATGATGCACACTAGCAAAACAGGATACAAATCATGGCTAATTCTAATGAGTCCCTTCCTTAATACTGCCAAAGTCAAATCAAATGGTCCCTAAGGAAATTAAACTTGATTTTCTTAAGTATTTTTTACATAAACTTTGAACCACAAATAGGTGTGGCAGAATTTGATTTTTTTTTTTTAATGATTTCAATGAATATTCTCAATGGTTAAGCATTTTGTTACTTTTATCAATTTTGCTGGGCTGATCACTTGGTACATATGGATGATACACTATTCCCCCCAAGACATATTATGTGGACAGTTGAAAATGGGAACACGTATGTGGGGAGGTCAATGAAAACTAGGTAAGGGCACACTCAGAGCTCACCTAAAAGGTGGCCAAGTCAACCCAAATACTTGGGGGGGGGGGAAGCTGCTGCTGCTATAGATCAGGATGGCAGCTGATCTATTGGTCTGTGTTTAAAACCATTGAACACTGCAGAACAGAACAAGGCCAAAGAGAAGCCTGAGCAAAGAAAGCAGGCTGTGACAAAAGCATGCGGTCACGTCTGCCTGACATGGGCACATCTGTGGATCCCTCATCAGTTTACACTTGCTCAAGATCGATTACAAGAAGCTGGCTCTCATATGTTGACTACGACGTGAGACACCGATGACAACAAAAGCCAATGTCAATGGCTAAACTTCTTCACTTATAGAATTTAACTGTGAAAGCAGTTCACAACTTCAAAGTGCAATTGAGCCTAGAAGATTATGTAATAATGGCACCTCCTCAACAGCTTTATTCCCTGGTTGTATATTCACAGTCTATCTGCTTCAGTCAGTTACAGTTTTTATTCTTAGCACTGTAGAGCCTGCAGCTCTGGAACTGCAAACTGTTCTTACCGGAACAGGACCACAGTAGCAGAGCCTAAACTGGATTAGTGTTCATTCTGGGCTGGCTTGAGCACAACCCTGCTTTTCAGATTCTGGGATAACTTGGCAACTGGAGGAGGAGGAGAAACCTCTCTTGTAATTTGAGCAAACAAGATATGGAACTACTGAAAGGCAATTATCTGGTAAACACCTTGATGTAGAATCATAGAAGATTAGGGTTGGAAGAGACCTCAGGAGATCATCTAGTCCAATCCCCTGCTCAAAGCAGGACCAACCCCAACTAAATCATCCCAGCCAGGGCTTTGTCAAGCCGGGCCTTAAAAATCTCTAAGGATGGAGTTCCATCACCTCCCTAGGTAACCCATTCCAGTGCTTCACCACTCTCCTAGTAAAATAGTGTTTTCTAATATCCAATCTAGACCTCCCCCACTGCAACTTGAGAACATTGCTTCTTGTTCTGTCATCTGCCACCACTGAGAACAGCCTAGCTCCATCCTCTTTGGAACCCCCCTTCAGGTAGTTGAAGGCTGTTATCAAATCCCCCTCACTTTTCTCTTCTGCAGACTAAATAAGCCCAGTTCCCTCAGCCTCTCTGCGTAAATCATGTGCCCTAACCCCTTAATCATTTTCATTGCCCTCCGCTGGACTCTCCAATTTGTCCACTTCCTTTCTGTAGTGGAGTGCTCAAAACTAGATGCAATACTCCATATGTGACCTCACCAGTGCCGAATAGAGGGGAATAATCACTTCCATCAATCTGCTTGTAATGTTTCTACTAATGCAGACCAATATGCCATTAGCCTTTTTGACAACAAGGGCACACTGATGACTCATATCCAGCTTCTTGTCCACTGTAATCCCCAGGTCCTTTTCTGCAGATCTGCCACTTAGCCAGTTGGTCCCCAGCCTGTAGCAGTGGGATTCTTCCATCCTAAGTGCAGGACTCTGCACTTGTCCTTGTTGAAGCTCATCAGATTTCTTTTGTCCCAATCCTCCAATTTGTCTAGGTCACTCTGGGCCCTATCCCTACCCTCCAGCGTTTCTACCGCTCATCCGCGAATTTGCAGAGGATGTAATCCATCCCATCATCCAGATCATTAATGAAGATGCTGAACAAAACCCCAACCCCTTGGCCACTCTGCTTGATACCGGGTGCCAACTAGCCATCAAGCCATTGATCACTACCGTTGAGCCCGATGATCTAACCAGGTTTCTATCCACCTTATAGTCCATTCATCCAATCCATACTTTTTTAACTTGCTGGCAAGAATACTGTGGGAGACCGTATCAAAAGCTTTGCTAAAGTCAAGATATATCACATCCACCGCTTTCCCCATATCCACAGAGCCAATTATCTCATCATAGAGGGCAGGCAGGTTGGTCAGGCATGACTTGCCCTTGGTGAATCCATGTTGACTGTTCTTGATCACCTTCCTCTTCTCCAAGTGCTTCAAAATGGATTCCTTGAGGACCTGCTCCATGATTTTTTCGAGGGCGTGCAGTGAGGCTCACCAGTCTGTAGTTCCCCGGATTCTCCTTCCCTTTTTAACAATGGAACAAGGCAAATATAGTGCCCAAGAGTCTGGGACCTCCCCCGATTGCCACGAGTCTTCAAAGATAATGGCCATTGGCTCTGCAATCACATCAGCCAACTTCCTCAGCATCCTTGGATGCATTGCATCTGGCCCCATGGCCTTGTGCATGTCCAGCTTTTCTAAATAGTCCTTAACCTGTTCTTTCACCACTGAGGGCTGCTCACCTCCCGATGCTGTGCTGCCCAGTGCAACAGTCTGGGAGCTGACCTTGTCTGTGACAACTGAGGAAAAAAAAAAGCATTGAGTACTGTAGCTTTTTCCATATCATCTGACACTCGGTTGCCTCCCTATTCAGTAAGGATCCCACACTTTCCCTGCCCACCTTCTTGTTGCTAACATACCTGTAGAAACCCTTCTTGTTCCCCTTCACATCCCTTGCTAGCTGCAACTCCAATTGTGCTTCGGCCTTCCTCATTACACCTCTGCATGCATGAGCAATATTTTTATACTCCTCCCTCGTCATCTCTCCAAGTTTCCACTTCTTATAAGCTTCCTTTTTGTGTTTAAGCTCCCCAAAGATTTTTCTGCAAAGCCAAGCTTGTTGCCTGCCATATTTGCTATTCTTTCTGCACAGAGTCTAGGCTTAAATGAAATTGCTACAGTCAGACTCAATGTGATAAACCTTATCCATAGGCTTTTCTGTACCCTCAATTCTGCCACCACCGTCTGGCTGATCGATCGTCTTCTGTATTCTGCACTGAGCCTGACAGAATGCACCTCAGCTGGACCCTCTCCCCAGCATTGTGAATTGAAAGGAAGCAGTAGGCACGCTTCCCTGGGAGGTGGCAAAGAAAAACTCTTGCACCGTCCACACATTCAGAATGAGTCCGTTGGCAGGAAGGAAGAGTTTTGCATTCTCTAGGTTAAACCACTAGCTACACTTCCCTTTCCCTTCACCTACTGTTGCGATGCTCCTTATTGCTAACTCCCTTGCTCAGGCCTCATCAATTGGCTTTAAAGCGAGTTAGGGGGCGAGGGCAGCAATGGGCATGGGTGGTAGAAATAACGTACCCTACACGTGGGCCCTAGTTTGAATCATATCCGAGTGTATCGTTTGCAGTGCCACTACAGGCCATTGATTTAAAATGTTACTGCACGCGGTACCTAAGCAGCACTACCCCAGGGGGGTGATGGGGTTTTTTAAGGGCCCTGGGGGCCTGCGTCAGGAGTCAGCACTTGTTGCAATGCGGTTGCATCAGCTCCCCCCGTGCATTGCTGGGGGGCTGCCTGCCGCGCGCGGTTACTCCGCGAGGTTTGGCCGCTTTCTCGTGACACGCAGCCAACCCCGACAGAGCGAGTTGGCGGAAGGCAAAATTCTGCTGCCGCCTTCCCGGGCGAGCCCAGCCCCAAAAGTGGAGATGCCGGGGATTGAACCCGGGGCCTCATACATGCAAAGCATGCGCTCTACCACTGAGCTACATCCCCTCCGTGGCAACAGCCCTGCAAAGACACGCTACCTGGATGCACAAGGCTAAAAAGCAACAGAGGGTCCCCTCTCTCCACGCCTGGTTTCTATTCAACACCTTCCTCCCCCCGGGGCCCCATATCCGCTCCCTCCACTGCGAGCCTTCCCAGACAGCATCCGCCCAGCCCGGCTTTCTGTACCGCACGGAGCCGGCGCCCTCCGCTGCTAGCCCCAGCCTGCAGCCCTCTCGCCCCAGGCGCTGCGCTACCTGCCCCCCAGGCCACGTGCACCACTACCGGCGCTTCCCCGGCTGCACAGGGTCTTGCAGGCACCGCACCAGGCACCGCGCGCGACTCCCTCTGCAGGCGGCGTTACCTGGACAGCCCCGTGGCTCTGGCGCGCGCCAGGCGCTTTATCCGCGCTGCGAATTGTGCAGCCTGTCGCGTCTGTGGCTGTGGGGGGGGAAGCGGCTGCTTGTGCGTGCAATAGACGTGCAACAGAAGGCAGCGTGGGTGCAGGGTAAAGCCCAGCTGCTGGCCCAGGAATCTGTGCAGTAAAAGCCCCGCACATACAGCAAAAGGCAATGCTGGTTGCATTGCAGCGCGCGTGTCCGGTATATCACAGCTTGTGGTGAAACTTTCCTCAGGTACATCCTCGTTAGTATAGTGGTAAGTATCCCCGCCTGTCACGCGGGAGACCGGGGTTCGATTCCCCGACGGGGAGGCCACCACGTTTTTATTTCCTTCCTCTTCTATTCAAGGAGAATTTGGGCTTTGAGGATGGGGAGGAAAAACCCAAACCCTTCATGAAACGTGTCATCATTGATACAAGCCAGTCTTAGCACAGAAACATCTTGGGCCA